GCATTACAACCTGGTACCCAATACCGGAGATGCCAATGATCTTTTTGCACTTGGTGTAGGTGGCCGCGTAAAGCTTTCCCGCCGTATCGCCATGACCGGCGAATGGTTTTATGCTTTGCCGGGTACCATGCAGGCCGGCACGCGGAATGCCCTGTCGGTTGGCTTTGATATTGAGACCGGCGGACACGTATTTCAGCTGCATTTTACCAATGCCACCGGCATGAGCGAGCGCACATTCTTAGGGCAGACCACCAATGACTGGGGAGACGGCGGCATCCATTTCGGATTTAATATCAACCGGGTGTTTACGGTGGTGAAGCCGAAGGAGTTCAGGTAAACGGGGTGGTCCCGGGTCAGCCCCTAGCGGGCCTGCAAGCGACTGTCTGAAAATATATTTTCGAAAATAGAAATTAGGCAAATAATGCTCATTCGTTTTGTGGCGAATGAGCATTATAGTGGAAACATCAGGTCTTCGACAACAAAATTTGCTGTTGATTCGGTCTTCAACCCTTATCTCCAACGTACAATAATCTCTTTAAGCGCCTGCAGTTGCTGCGCAACAATCTTCCTGGTAGCCTCATCGGTGAGCACACCTTCGGAGTTAAATTTATCACCGGCATTGGCTACAAAAACTTCCGGCTTGCGCACATTGGTCCAGTTGAGTGCCTGGAAGATCGGGTGGAATGCATTTTGCGCACGCACTGTTCCCCAAAGGCCGGGTGTAGCACCCATCAGCGCCACTGCCTTATTCAGCAAGGGAGAATCCTGTCCGCGGGAAGCCCAGTCAATGGCGTTCTTTAATCCGCCGGGGATGGAGTAATTGTATTCGGGCGTGGCAATCACAAAACCATCTGCCTTGGCCAATAATTCCCGAAACTTCACTACTTCATCGGGGCGCTCGGCTGCCGCTGGCTTGTCCAGGTCGCCATTATAAACAGGAAGATTTTCGAAAGAAACAAGGTCCATCGTAACGCCTTCTGGAAGTAATTCCTGGGCGGCACGCAGCTG